TCTCGCCATCTCAATAATCAATAGTCCAAGCACAAATCGGAAGTTTTATCTCAATGTGCCACGTGACACGTCAAATGTCATCATCAGCGAGCTGGAGCAATGTCGACATCAAGAGACCAGGTACGTATCTACATTCGCCCCACAGTCTTGATCTCCTTCCGAGTGACGATGAATCAGAACAACACTATCAATCACGTAGCCCCGCCACTCAGCAAGAGTACAGGTGGCAGCAGCCACGTCAGCGGCGGCGCGTGGCAGCTGCCGCATCAGCATGCCCAGAAGACAATTGCCAGCCAGCCACCATGCCGAACCAGCAGCGAATCGCCGTATCTGCTCAAGTGCCAKCGTAGAGCCAGCGTCCAGCCAGTGTCGCAGCGTCGCATTAGTGTCGAAGTCAATGCGTGAAGTCAGCATTGACGCAAGACTGAATGAATGTCAAAGCCAGGAGGTCAGCGCTTATGTAGCATTGACGCCGGGTCTGGACCCCGGATGCTGCATCCCTCAACCGTCCAGATCTCAATTCAACGAGGGCCCAGATTGGTCTGAACCTGAATTCCCTCCGGCCTGGATGCTGTCTGGGTACCTGCGCACAACAAGTGAGTGTATCCGACCAAGGACCTGGCTGCGGTACCTTTGACTCTACAGTTGACTTTGACTCTTGAATTTCCTGTGTGCAGCGTTCGGTCACACAGCCACACTCAACAGACTCAGGCCTGGGCGTGTCTTGGTCACACACCCCAGCGCAGACCAACTCAGGTCTGTGTTTCCTGGGGCTGAGTTCTGAGCCCCAGGCTACTTCTGAACAGGGTTACTGCAAATCAATCAATCAAAACTAATTAACTACTTTAGTCCCCGCACACATGTCCGATCAGGTTGTCCTGATTCACGTGCCGTGTTCCGATACCAACTGTTACATGCCCAGTTGGGCGATGTACATATATAGCCAAGGATCCACAATGTGATGAAAAGGACTGAATGGACAATGCAGTGCTAGTGGAATCTCAACAAGCAGTGTACATCCTGATACATACAAAATGGCACACAATAGCGCAGGGGAAGAGTTACATATAAGCCCTGACCTGACCGGGACTTACCTCTCTCACGTAGTACAAGACAGCGCAGCAGAATGCTAGAATACCAATGACTAGCCCAATCAATGTCGCAATACAGACCAAGCATACATCATCCTCATCACAAGGTGTGAAGGGGCCTGGCGCTACACACAGGAAGAATGCGCCAGGTCCAGACCATACACAGACGAAGAGGACGGTATCAGACGAAGAAGAAGGGGGAAGATGGGAATGTCATCAACACCAAGTCTTCGGTACAAGTCCCAGATAATCCCTCGTCAAATGTCTGAAGCCCAATCCAAATGTCACCAAGTCCGCTCTCGCGTAGTCTGCTGATGCAGTGAAGTCAGGTAGTGAGAGGGTGAGAGGGAGATGGTGGACTGAGAAGAGGAAGAAAAAGAACTCTCTCTCTCTCATGTGCCAGGTACCAACCTCTGAAGGTGGCGCCGTGCTGCAGGTACCTCGAAGGCGAAGCTGGAGCTATGGCGCTGCAGGTAAGTCTCCTTGGCCTCCGCCCAATCTCTCTCTCTCTCCAGTACTACTCTAGCTTCTACTAGCTGCTAACGCTACTACTACTACTGCAGCGCTCCTCCAGAGTGCTGCTGCCGAATCCTGAAGACTATCTCCTGCCTCCTGAACTGCATGTGAAGTGCCAGGGAAGTCCCTATGAACTACCTGCAGCCTGCAGGGCGGGCCAGTCCTATATGGTGCTGGCCCGTCCAGGAGGCTGCTCTTGCGAATGCCGAAACGTGCCAGACCCTGGCGTTGACGCTCAACCAAGGGTTGTCTTGAAAACAGGCCCAAAATGGCCTGTGCTAAAATCCTGGTCTGGTGCCTAAGTTTTAGGGCAGGTCGATCTTATGAGGACCTGAAAATGGCCCTCCGTTTCAGGCTGAAAAGACTCAGGGCCTGGAGGGGCCTGTTTTAGGCTGAAACGACACAGGGCCTGTAGGCCCTTGTTTTCAGGCTTTCAGGCTGAAACGGCACAGGGCCTGTAGGCCCTAGTTTTCAGGCTTTCAGGCTGAAACGACACAGGGCCTGAAAATGGCCCTTGTGTAGGCGCACCATGTTGCAGGCGCAGCATGTAACTCTCTCTCTCTCTCTCTCTCTCTCTCTCTCTCTCTCTCTCTCTCTCGAGCGCGCGCGCGCGCGCGCGTATCCAGATGGAAGTGGAAGACTGAACGGTGGAGGATGCAGGAGGTCCGGAGGAGAGAAGAAGAAGACGAAGACGAAGACGAAGAAGAAGAAGAAGAAGAAGAAGAAGAAGAAGAAGAAGAAGAAGAAGAAGAAGAAGAAGAAGAGTCCTCCCTCTCTCTCTCTCTCTCTGCTGGTACCATATACTGACCGTGTAAAGGTATTGCCTTGACGTTGGTACTGGAGTGCTGAAGACGAAGCTGGAGCTAAGGCGCCCCAGGTGAGTCATCAGGTCAGCCCCAGTGTCTGGCCTCCGCCTCTCTCCTGCTGCAGTCTCCATTACAGTGCTGAAGACTAACACAGCCCCAGTGTCTGGCTCTCCACCTCCAACCTACCACTATTGCGCCCAGTGCTGAAGACTAACACAGCATAACGCTGAGTACTAACTCACACTAACCTACCAAGTGAGAGGCAGACCAGTCTATAAATACTACTGGTCTGGCCTCTTCTAGGTCCTACTAGCCTAAACGTGAGGCCCAGAATGAATGGCCTGGGAAACAATCTGGCTGTACACTTGGATCGAATCCGGCGGTCCAAGCGTGGCCTGGGAAAAAAAAGAAGGCCAGGGCCTGAACCGTTACCGGTACCAGGGCCTGGCCAGGCCGAACCTGGTGTGGGCCTAAAACGGCCCTTTACCTGGCCTGAACGGACACAGGCCCTACTTCGGGCCACAAACTAATCTGCCCAACTGAAGCTAAGTCCCTACCCCTTCCTACCTACCTGAAGGGTCCTATTGGGCCTGTCTGGGATCTACATATACCACATAGGCCGAAGGGCCTGCTGTCTCATCGAAGCCTCCAGGATCCTGGAAGCTTCTTTAAAGATGCTGATTCTCGCGCGCTGGACCTCTGTAACCAACTGGCGTGTGTGAACTGTCAGGCACCCAAAAACGCTGCACTGGTGAAGGAGGGGGCCCCATGCGGACTTCAGGCCCGCCTTCGCTTAGGGAGGGCACCTTGGTCATGTGAAGACTGTGACCCAGCGGCCTATTGCGAGGCTCAGTCCTCGCACAAAGTTGTCTGTGCACCATGCCAAGTGTGCTACAAGCATGAACACCATGAATGCAACAGTTGCAACTCTGTCGCGGTGGCAGTTACCCCTTTTCGGAAAAGAATCAAGGGAAACAAAAAAAATTGTTGGGTGCCCGGGTTTGCCGGGGAAGGGACCAGGGAAGGTCCCTGTAAGAAAAACAAAAATCCAAAGAATCCGAAAAAAACAACAACAACACTATGCTGTGCAGAAAAATAAACTGAGCCTTTTTTGCCTCAGGGTCACATCGAAATTCTGTGCCAAATTAAAAAAAATAAAAATAAAATCATTTTTGACCTGGCCGGCCAAGTGGTCTCGGGTCACACTGGTAATGTAGGTCGCAATGAGCCGCATTTTTTACCTTTTCACTATTCTCACTAAAAACAAGACCTTACATTCATTGGCTCCATAGCATTCTTGGGAGAAACAGTCTGGTTCCTCTACTACGATACCCACTTAGGCACACTTCCCTCGACTATAGTCAACAGGGGATCTCCTGACAGCATATCTCCTACTCTCGCAATCCCAAGGAGAGGACTAACCATCAGGTCAGCCCACCTTCCTTCTTTTTTATTTGTTTTTACAGGGCGACGGCCTTAAGATGTCATTACTGACCGGCCCCAGGTAATTCGGCATCATTTTGTTCTGGTCATCTGATTGTATCTGGATGCGAACTTGGATCCGTATTTCAACAGCCCGTGGGTGTACCAACTGAGATAGGCCCGTTGGTGACCAGCCTACCTTCCTGAACTCCCTGGCGTTACGAATTTCAAGAATCTCAAATGCTTCTTCCCACCCATCATCTCACTTACACTATTGATTGAGATGAGATGACAGTGCAGTTGATTGCAACTCTACAGAAAATCATAATTGAACATCCACGTCCAAAATCATTGATGAACCAGAAAAAAGTGATGTCGAATTGAGCACCCTGCCTCCCTGAGCAACATCCAACAATTGGCTCAAGAAACCAACCACTGAACAGCAAGTTCTCACTCGCTATGGCTTCTCTCTCTCTCTCTCTGTCTCTCTCTCTCTCTCTCTCTCTCTCTCTCTCTCTCTCTCTCTCTCTCTCTCTC